AACGGGGACAACAGAGAAACATATTCTTCATGACCAAAGTTGGAATTGAAATACAAAAAGTGAAACTTATGCTCATTGTCACCCTCTCCCTCCGGTCCACATTAATACAATGATCTCAATATTGAATGAAAGATCTTAAAATAAATACAAATGTATGTTAGGAAGGTTCCTAAGCAAAATTGACTATTCGACCTCAACCGTAGTCTGTAGAATTTCCTTCAGAGAGAGCACAGCATTGTCTCCTCCCTTTCAACACCAATTTATTTCATTCTGGCACTCTTTTATGAATTTTACACTTAAAAGTAAGGTTGGTCAGATTGGATGCGGCAAAGAACACCTGTGCTCTGTGTTCATAAAGTGAAAATGGTACTGAAAGGAGAGCATGCAGAGAGAGATCCCTGTCATCTTCAGGTCAATGCGCCCACATGCTGCTGGTTGAAATCTGATTGAAATACAAAGAAACTAAAAAGATTGCCGATTTCTAACGGTGAGCAGAAGTTCAGCCTTGCACTATTGGTAATCCTTGAAGCACTGCTAATATTCCCAGTCTGAATTATAGCCTTGCAATGGTAGAGGACTTTCAGTCAAAATCAAATGGCAATGAAGAAACCTGCTAAAGTGTTGTGGTACACAGCTGGAATGAAACATAAGATGATTCAAATGTATTTGAAACCTTTTTGATCAAGTTAGATATCTATCATCTAGAGAAACCAACATGGTTCAATTTCATGCTCAGTTAATATAGATTAGTTGCACCAATCATCTGATAATAGGTGTCAGAATCACATGGAATAACAACACAGAAGGAAAAAAAAGCGAATTAAAGGTCACCAAGAGTGTCACATTACATGTCATTTGTTAGACGCTTTTATCCAAAGTACTGTGGGCAATCCCCATAGGAGCAATTTGGGGTGAAGTGTCTTGCCGCAGTCAGACTCATACTTGCTATCCCCTGATTCAATGTCCAGCACACTACTGAGCCACAGCCTCCCTGTCACATGTTTGATAAGCTCCACTAAGGCACCAGGGAGCCCCAAGTCCTCGCAAGACCATGGTGAAGACTAGGATGAATTGTTAAATAGTGTCCTTAACTGCATATGGATTTGGTGATTGAATATTAAATGTTACTGCACAACAAATCACTTATACATTGAAACGCACTCAGAAGCTCCCTCTAGTGTTTCACTCCAATAAATAAAATATAAGCACGACAGACCCAGTATAACAACCGTAGAATATTTATTGCAATTAAAAAATCCACACTGATCATTAGCATTCAACCAAATCCAAACCCTGGGAGAAGTAGTTATGGTGCAGCTGGTAAACAATGTGTTGCATGCTCAATTACAAAAGAGGAACACTGTCTTCAGCATGTTATCCAAACTGTGGTCTGTATAGTGGACAACATCTTCGGAATATCAAAAAAGGATAAAGGTTGAATTTTGATATCTTAATCAGTCAATTTAGTGAATTTACACATCCCAGCTTTTCTTAAATCGGATGTAATGTTCCTATTTGCCCAATATTTACTAAGATTACGATCGTTGAATAATCTCGAGCTTTCTGAGCTTGCTAGAGAAAGGGTGTGAAGAAAATACTCCGGGTATGTGTTTTTGCTTCCCTGGTGTACAAGGCCATCAGGGATGACACTAGGGGGCATCGTTATACCACAGGAGGAAAGACCTGCCACCAATAAAATATACATCCATTACTATGGCAACTAGATTTCTGCACTTCTTTCTCTGTGGAATAGATTTAGCATGTTTCTCAAAACACAGGGCAGAGGGCAAAGTGAACTACCATTTGGCTTCTACATTTTGATCAAAATGAATTGCTTTGAGGGATGAGACTCAACACTTGAATGAAGAGTTTAGTTGGTTCACATTCATTCTATACACCACAGAAGAACCTCTGTTAATACATTTTGAGACTAGAATGTGAAGAGGAATTTATATATCTGCACTTATCAGCACTCAAGTGCTTTCAGCCAGAGAAAACACAACTTGGGGTCAAGATTACAGGTCATCACAATGGTCTTTTAATGGGTGAAAATATGTGATCTCCAAGCTATGCTATACGATGTCTCTCTTTCTATGGAGGGTAATGTCAAGGTTCAGGACGCAGTGTTCACTGCTGCTTTAAGAGTTGTTTGAAATGGAAGCATTTTCTCTATAGCAGTGCAATTAAGATTGGCCCTGGAATGGAGTATGGCATAGACAGCTAGACAGTGAAGAGCTTTATGATTTATAGTGACATTTATTATTTGGTGTTCTAGTATATTCACAATCCATAAAAAGCCCAAAAAGTCACATCAAGGACTTATGAGATTGAATGGCAGGAATGTAAATGTTTTTGTTAAACATATCAAAGCACATAGCAGCTGTTCTGTACACAAAACACTTAAATATCATAGGGCCTTGCTACAATAACAAAAAACGAACATTAACCTTGATTGCCGCAGTATACCTGGAAATTGCAATCTTTAATTTTAACTCCAACTAAGAGTACGTGTCAACAAAGTTCTATTTTTACACCAGAGTTTATAGGAGAGGGAGTCTCCTTCACTGTGTGATTTCAACCTCTGATTACACAGTACGTTTCAACACAGAGTACATTGCTACTCTACATCCAAGATAAAGCTACATGTATTGTTGCACACTTGAACATGAAAAGGGGACTTCCATGCGTCCATACGTTTAAAATAAATTACTTTTACGTAGTTTGTTTGCGAAATAGTCTACAGAAACACGAGCACGTCACTGCAACGTAGGCCTATCTGCATACTATCAGCTAGGTCTAATTAATTATGCTTAAAAAACATTCATATACATTCTTAACCTGCATAAAACTTTAAATATCATATATCCGCAAAACACATTGTACGAGGATATTCAGCACAAACGGAAAACCTATTAAAAACAAGCTACAGGTGGTTCGTTCAAGCACTGTTTCAAATGGCACTTATTTATGGAACAGGTAAAACTACGGTAAAAATGCGATTAAAAAAATATCATGTCGGCAATACAGTAGTCCGTTACACTTCCATTAACTATAAATCTGTGCTACTATAAATAGCTTCAACACTTCTGCTCATCTAGAAACATATCATGATGTCTCTGCTGCTTCTGCGTCTTACCTGTTGGACCCCAAAGCTGCCCACAGTGTCTGTTTGAGCTATACTCATAACTTTAGCTACTAAATGTTATAGTTGCTATTGAACATGTACATTGATTTGAAGAACACAGGTTAATCAAAGACAACAAAATACAATAGTGCCAATGACAAAGTGCCATTTCTATTATGATTCCAGTGCCCATTGATAGGCTCAACATTACCATAGTCCACAGTATTTGTCTGGGGAATAAAGGGAAGCTGAATTACAATGAGTGTCAAAACATGTAAAGTTTAATTGTCACTGAATTAGTTACATTTGAGATCTTGAACTGGTCTGACCACAGATATTTGTAATAAATGTGGTTTATTATGTCACAATATCATCCAATATACTGTGAGTATTTTACAGCAACAAGGTTGACTTGTGAAAATAAGATATCAAATTATAATTGTATCACCTTCTTGGTGTCTTTTGATGTTTTCCTTATGCATTATTGCCAGAGATAGTCCTCCATGAAATAACTATTTTAATCAGTGATGGATATGACTGTTATTTTCTTGAGTTCTTAATAAGTGGCCTTTGAAAATGTCAAATGAATAAACCCAATTTAAAGTTGTTATATTGAAACGTTTAAGTTTGTTTTGTCTATCAAACTGTCCATATAAATATAGAGCAAAATATAATAAATATTCATATTTCAGAAGCCGTAACCATTGATTTTCATGAGACAAAAAATCCTGACTGAAATGATGAGTTGATGTTAAATAATGCACTAATTGTTTCACTCCCTCCATCAGATAGAGACTTAAAGCTGCTGATGTCATCAAATGGTTTGGATTTAGATCATTCAATTGATTTTTTCCTGAACGTTTTGCATGTATAGTCAAGAACAGCTGAATAGTATGTTTCTCATTGTATAATTCTGTGTTTATCTCCAAAAATGCTCTCCCTCCACATTCCTGTACTTATCACTATTTCAGACATCTGAACAAGCACTTCAGGTGACATCATGTTTCATCTCAGGGACAGTTAAGTACATGCAGCTGATATGATTACAATGTGAGCGTGAAAGTAAATGAACTCAAATGTGTGTGTGTGTGTGTCTTTCTGTACAAACACTACATGTTTACAGCTTCTCCCTCTAAAAGTGCATGAGAAATATCATATTCTACAGTAGGATACTTGTCTATGGAACATATCAAAGGTGTAAAATAACTAAGTACATTTACACAAGTATACTGTACTTAAGTAACATTTTGAGATTCTTGTTCTTTACTTGAGTCTTTGCATTTTCTGCTACTTTATACTTCTACTCCATTACAATGGTAAATTGTGTACTTTTGCTCGACTACATTTATTTAATACCTTTAGTTACTTTACAGATTTGGATTAATGATGTGAAATATAATCAACACTTAAATAAGACTTTAGTTAACCCTGAAGTAAATTCACAATCTACCCTGCAGTAGTATTCAAAATCATTAAAACTGTACCTTTACCAGCTTTGATAACACTTTAATGCATCAATAATTATAAACGAAACATATCATATTTATTATTCTGAAATGGAACTATTTGCATAATGAGTACTTTTACTTTTGGTATTTTCAATTGTTTTGTTATGCTAATACTTTTTCTTCTTGAGTAACATTTTGAATACAGGACTTACTTGGAACAGAGTATTCCTATACTGTGGTACTTCTACATTTAGCCTACTTAAGTACAACATCTGAGTACTTCTCCCAGTCCACTCAGCAGACATTCCTCCCTTTGAGATGTAAACAGTGACAGTGTGAACTGACTTAAATAAGGAGGCGCTCTCCAGAGATGACGCGCTCTCGTGCCTTCTCCTTGATTGACATCCGACATGTTAGCGCACGTACACGAGCAATGAAATATGCCCCCACGTTTTTGTATACGCGCATATTTTACGCAAAGCCCGTGGGTGCCGGCCGTTTATAATGTATGACAGCAGTCATTCCGCGCGCACCCTCCTCGCAGCCACTGCGTGTCCTTTGACCTCTGTCGCTTTTAAAATAGAGAAACGACCTTGTGGAGACTTGAGTCATTTGCAGTTGTTGACGGCTACGTTTTAGGCTACACTCAAAGAGTTGGGCTTGTGAGGTTAAAAAATAAACGAAATAAGTTTATCCACACGAGTTGTGATGTTTGTCACATCCGGGACTGAAACTTGTCATCACTTTTTCATTTTGGACGCGACGAGCTTCTCCTGAGGGAATTGAAGACGACACTTCAATAGGTAACACACTTTTGTTATCACTCCAGTTGCTTGTCTTAGGGTAAGCTGCACAACGCAATGAGCTTCTAGAGAACTTAATTATGTTTTTATTCAGGTTTACGCAGAAACAATACGAAAGCGTAAAAATGCAGGCACATGGTGAGAAGTCAAAACTTGTAAAATGCAAGTAAATTACTTTCATCATGCAGCCTGAACTTACTAAACAGTATGTTGAACGTTTTGTTTATCAGTTGAAATCAGGGGCAGTTCACAGATGAAGACTTTACCTGTCAGCAGTCAGATCCCTGTGCAGCTCAAAAACAAAAAAGAGTCTCTCATGCAGGTTTAGGGAACCCAAGTATGAAATCCTGCAGTAAATTCAAAAAGCCATAAACAAAAAGTATTGACAAGTTCTGACTTTTATCTAGACTCTTCATGTCTGTGCTTTAGTATTTTCACTGTGTGCCTCTCCCTCCCTCTGGAGGCAGTTATTTAAATTGTATTTTTTCTGACACACATACAACTTAATAACCTATTTATTTGTAATATCCCATCACTTATTTGATCTCATTTGTGTTTATAAACATGTTCTGAAATCACCATAATGTAGCTATTTCAGCTGATTTTTTACAAGGATTTTCAGGTTTAAACCAAATCATTTTCAGACCTCAGTCAAAGGTTAATGGATTTTGTGACCCATGGTTTGTTAAGGGGTCAAAAAGTTAGACATTTACAGAGTTGCACCAATTTTTACTCCGGTTGTTTACAATTGAGATGTTCCGTCTTATTCCAGTCCCTTACAGAATGTGCAATTAATTGGTTTTATAAGACTTAAGCTTTTCATTGACAGTGTTTTTGAAGTTGTGAGACTTTTAAAAATGACATAAACATGAGGCTCTGCAGTCCTGTGAAACAAATTTGCTCACCTTTCAAAAACCAGCCTGCCTTAATGCAAATGCTTCATAGTGAGACCACATCTCTGTGTGTCTGTTCTCCCTGCCTGGCCACTCAGAGTGAAGATGAGTAGTGGCGGGTCAGTTGCCCAGAGCATTGGCCACGATAGTCCTGTGAAGCCGGCCCATTCAAGTCTCTGCAGCTTTGTTATAGCCAAATGGGTCGAGCCTCTCATCTGTCTTTCTTTGTGTGTCACAACTTGACTGAAAAGTTGTAATTGGGAAATCCTGGGATCCTCACTCCCTGGGGTGATGTCCGGGGCAAGCTTTCAATAATTACATTTACAGTACAACAAGTTGTTACATGAGAAACAGGTCAGCTTTTAATTTCAACCGTGGAAAACATCCATGGTATTGTGTTCATTCAGGCGTGGTGTGATCTCGCTCAGATTTTCTCCCTCCACATGTTCAGGCTCAGTCTGCTAACTCAATTATAGCTGAGGATATTTTAATCATCAGCCATTTAAAAAGGCAGGGGTTGGCAGTATTGATGAAATGCCATAGTTGAGCCGTTGAGTGACAGAAAAGTAATCTGCAACAACTTTGATAGATGATTCAACGTTTTAGTTTGAGCTTTTTAATGTGAATTTTGATAGATTATAAATACTTCAAGTAATCCCAACTATTGTTTGTAAAATGTCAACAAATAAAAAATTAAAGTTGTGCATATAGTTCCAATAATTTAAATTGATGTCTGCTATTCCCCAACAGACTAAAACCCCACAGATCTGTCTGATTAGTGACATATACAACAAAGAAAGATTTAAACCCTCAAAGCTTTTGAAATGTTCTTCTTAAGAATTACAATGAGGTTCTTACAATACTGTAGCTGCTGGTGTTTGTTGTAGTTGATTTTTGTAGCTCCAACAGTCCTCTTTAACACACTGATTTAAATCGTATTACATCTCTCTGTAAAGCTGCATTTTCCCTGTATGGTGCAGCAAATCTCTATTTAACTCCTAACAAAAGTTTTGGATAGTATCTGGTACCATTTCTGTCTGTTCAAGCAAGCTGCGCTGATACTAAAGGTGGAGTCTGCAGACGACTGATTGGTCAGAGAGAACCATCAGTACTCTGACCCCGGGCAACCTGAACAAACCCGCAATAAAAAAAACAAGCTACCTTTATTGCGTCCGCAATTTAAAAAATAAATTCAACCTGTACAATCTACAAAGTGCCGAATTTCTCTGTTGGATTGGAAATGAAAGCGTACAGCAATTGTTGCGATGAAGATGATATTACAGCAGTTTCACGTGGTGTCGCTATGGTGATCAGCTAAGAATCCCACCTACTCTTAGGGGAAATATCTGCAGTGGAAAACCAAATGAAGAAGGACTTGGTACTAAAAGTGAGTCAGGTTGAGTAGAGCGGCAGCATTCAGTGGAAATTATGCACAAGAAACGCAGTATCATGCAGGTTGTTTTGACTTAAGGGTTCAAATATGTATTGAATTTCCAAATCCATGGCTCACCTGCATTTTCTGCTTTATTAGAGTCAGAGAAAGGATGTTAAAATCTCAATGTCAGATGGTGAGTGGTTTGTCTGAGTGCACTTATACAGAGGAAATCGAAGGCAAACTGACTCTAGATTCACCCTGGAAATGTTACAATGCTTTGACACTGTGAAATGGAAATCAAAACGTTCCAAAGCAAATAGCTCCCCAGTGGCAGCCCAGAGAGAACATAAATGCAGAAGTGTCCCAGTAAATCACTTCACACTGTTTTCAGAGGCTGTAAACAGCATCAACCTGTGACAGGTATGTCCTGCATGTGTTGCCACTTGCCAGGCATGCTGTCTCCTCCTCTCCACTTTGCCTTGCAGAGGAAAAGTAAGATTAAAAACCTCTGTAATTGTATAATTGGAGCCTGTAGTTTGATGGTATATTTACTGAGTTCTTCTCTAGATTAAACACTGGTTTTACAGGAGGGTTAAACTAACACAAATCTAGATATATATACTGTGTACATTATTGATCCCAATTTTGGAAATTATTTTGTTACAGAAGTGTCAGTGTGTTCAGACATTAAAATACAAATACTTAAAAAGTGGAATAGAGAATTAACAACTACACATTTAAAGTAAAAATAAAATGAAAAATATTATATAAAATATCAACAGTATAGAAAGTTTGGATAATTAAAATGTTCTAAAAAAGTAAAAAATACTTCAGTTAGTAGCAGGAATATATGCTTACTTTTATAGGGCGGTGGTGGCGAAGTCCATAGGGACTTGGCTTGGCAACAGGTCACCAGTTCAAGTCCCGGAAAGACCAAGTGCTACCGAGGTGTCCCTGAGCAAGGCACCGTTCCCTACACGGCTCCCCGGGCGCCGTACATAATGGCAGCCCACTGCTCCTAACACTAGGATGGGTCAAATGCAGAGAAACCGTTTCGTTACATAGTACCTGTACTACGTAATGACAATAAGTTGAATCTATCTATCTATCTATCTATCTATCTTACACTACAGGAGCATAGACATACTTGTATAAACATATGATAGTATAAAATGTAAAGATATACAGAACATTGCAGATTGTTCATAGTTACTAGGAAGGAGAAACTCAAACACAACACAACTTGACATTTGGTTAAATAAAGCATGAATATGAAATATTGTGCCAAGCATATGTATGCCATATTATGTTATTGTATAATGCATTACATGGGTTTGAAATGCAGCCAAATGTGTTGTGTCGGAACGCAGTATATTTAGCTGCTGTCAGCATCTGAGCAGCTCATTGTTATCCATTAGGAACAGCTAGTAAGAGTCTTACCAGGCAGGGGGTGAGATTCTCAGCCACTTAATCAGGGACGTGATGGGAAGAGTAAAACTCCATGCCAGTCACTTATAGCCAGCCACATTATGCTGTCAACATGCCACTGCATACAAAAATATAACCTAACCTAATAATCTAATTTAGTGGTGCAATAAGCCCTCGATCGCAAATGACTTCCAGAGGGTTTTTAGATTATTAAATGTTCGCATTTGCAGTTATCAAATTCTCAGAGCCACTAGGAATTAATTGCTGTGTTGGAAGTGTATTGACGAGGCTGACACAGTTGGGGATTCTCTTAATTAGAAAGTATAGGAAGGGGAGGCAAACACACAAGACAAACACAAAATATAAAGCAATTACAGTCTTCTCATCCCAGCAATGCAAAAGTCGTTAAACAGCCTTAAAATGCTTCATTATGCCATGTGCAAAGCTCTGTAATTGCTGCAGGAACAATTACTAAGTTCAAATATACATATTCTTCCTAACACACTACATTTTTACCATGAAATCCTTCATGCATTACTACACTCGATTCAACAAAATCGTCTGTGGGAAGCAAAATGCAAAGAGTGCTTCAAAGCAGATGGCAAAGGCTGCAAAATATCTCTTACTCCCGAAAGCAAAATAATGATTGTGAAAGAAATGTGATTATGTTTGCTTTTCTAGAGAAGCACAATAATCACATATTTTACATATCAATAGCCTCGGAGAAAGCATTCATGTGGATGAACTGTTTAAGGACTGTTTAAGAAGATAATCTGAGAAAACTGCATACATGAATACATTTAGCAGCCTGTGCTTGAGAATGTGAGATAACAGCTGTCAGAAACAGAGTGTCATAATTGTTCTTTGCATGTTTACATTTTGAAACTGATTTAACTTTTTGTATTTGTCCAGTCTTTAGTACCACAATATGCATTATACCAGGCCACCCCCAAACGAAATAATGGTTAAGAAAAATCCAAAGTGGAATTTTTATGTCTGGTAGGTGGTTTTGCCGTGTCGTTCCCATGGTTTTTCCTGCTGTGAGTTTTAGTTTGTGTTGTAGCCTAACTCCCTGCTTCTGCTCCATAAAAGGACACATAGGAATCTCACTCCTCGCTCGATAGTCTAATGATGCCTGGTTGGCTTTGATCGGAAGCTGACCATGAAAGAGAAACTTAACAGGTCGAGCACTGATGTGTGTATTTGGTGAGGGAATTTATTGCTCTCCTCCGAGGACAGCCAGTCCACATTTGGAATGCTCGTTAAATATTTACAGGAGTCACTGACACAGGAACTCGCTGCCA